AAATACAGTATTGTTAACTATAGTCACATTACATATTATACATTACATTACACCCTCATGAGTCATCTCTCTTATAACTAGATGTCTTTTCCTTCTGATCACCTTTACCCTTTACCCACTCCCAACCCCGAGCGTCTGGCACCTACCAATCTATTTTCTGTATCTATGGGTTTCGTTTTTGTTTTTTTGTTTTTTTGTTTTTTGAAGCTTTCACAATGATTGAGATCATACAGTATATCTCTCTGATTTCACTTAAGATAATGCCCTTTGCAACTAAATACTAGTGAACTAATATTTAGTTGCAAATGGCAAGGTTTCCTTCATTTTTATGGTTGAATAATACTCCAGTATGTATGTATGTATGTGTGTGCGTGTGTGTGTGTGTGTGTGTGTGTGTATATATATATATATATATATATATATATATATATAATTTTTATCCATTCATTCATTGATGGACAGTTAGGTTGCAGTGATTTCATTTCCTTTGGATAAATACCCAAAAGTGGAATTACTGGATTATATGGTAGCTTTATTTTTAATTTTTTGAGGAAACTTTGGAAAAGCAGGATAAATGGTTAATTATTTTCTTTTATCAATTACCTGCGAACCAAGATGGTAGTATAAGTAAACACCAGTACTCACCATCTCCCACAATCACATCAAAATTACAACTAAAATACAGAATAATCATTATTCAGAACTGCTGAAAGCTGGCTAATTGGAAGTCCTACAACTAGAGAAGTAAAGAAAGCACACTGAAACTGGTTGTAGGGGAGGTGGCATGGTACAGGCTGGTCCAACATCCACATGTGCCATTTTTTTAATTGGGAGGGCTAGCTCAGCTGCAGAAGCCCTCATCCCCCTTGAGGAGCAAGGGGTCCCAGCCCCACACCAGACCCCCAGCCCAGGCTCCAGAGCTGGGAAGAGAAATACCCATAACTTCGGACTGAAAACCAGCAGGGATTGTGGCTGAGTGATGCAGAGGCTGCTGGAAACTAGGTGTTCCTCTGAAAAGGTCTGCTCACGAACTTACTCAGACTCAATCACTCTGAGCTCCAGTGCTGGGAGGCTTTGGGGGATTCAGGGACATACAGGGAGGAACTAGATTGTCTGACATCCCAGCAGGAATTCAGGAGTGGCTTTCTCTCAGATGGGGGTCCTTACAGAGGTTAATGTTCAGGTGCTAGGACCTCCCCCATTGCAGAGCTGACTGGCAGCCATATCTGAGTTTCCATCAGCCCGGCTCACACTGTTCACTCTACTCTGATGATTCCCTGAGACCCCACCCCAACCAAGCAGTTCGCAGCAGCTTTTCCATATGAATGACCTATTCTGGCTCAGGCTTCAGACTTTGCTAAAATCTCTCAAACAAGCAGCAACTGGCATCAGGGTGCCCAAACTATCAATAAAAGGCCCAAGAGCTGGCACAAACACCAACCTGCCTTGCTTCTCAACTGGGCCTCACCTGGACACTTCACAAGCCCAATATAAGTAGCAGCCATCTACGAACCTCTCTGTAGCTCCTGCCAGGTGGCCCCAGGCAGTGGCTGACTTTACACCTTCCAGAAGGCCCGAGTCAGTGCACCTGATTGACAGCTTCAGACCATACCAGATTACAACTCTATACATCCACAAGCAACACACTCAAGGGGCAGACTCAGTGAGCAACAAAACCCCAATAAAGCAAGTCCTGCTTCATAGGGGTGACTCCTGCATAACTTTTCTTCCACTGTAGTTGCAGCTGGTCCTCACAGCCAATTGGCCAGGAGATCAATTCCTCTCAGTGACACCAACAGCAATCAAGTTTCAACTTCAAGACTGTACACACAGCCTACACAAGAGCACACCTAGAGTGCCCAGCTCAGGTGACTGGGGAGGCTGAGCCATTGGGCCTTACAGGACACCTGCTACCCAAGGCCACCCTACCAATTCCAGGAGACATGACAGCTCTACCTAATATAGAAACCAACAGGGAAGCAGCCAAAATGCAGAGACAAAGAAACATGTCAAAAATTTAAATTAAAAAAAATGGAAGCAAACAAACTATTGGATACATAATTTAAAACAATAATTACAAGGTTACTCAAGAATCTCAATGAGAGCTTTAAGGAACTTAGTGAAACTTTCAAGGATGTTACTGAGAATGTCAAAGACATGAAAAAGGACCAGTCAGAAATTAAGTATAAGTTATCTAAAATAAAGAAAAATTTACAAGGATTCAACAGTAGAGTAGATTTTGAAAATCAAATAAGTGTTTTTTGCTTCTTCTGGAATACGAAGAAGCAAAAAACACTCAAAAAGAGCAAAAAAGAAAAGCAAATCCAAAAACATGAAGATAGTATAAGGAGCCTCTAGGACAACTTTAAGTGTACCAACATTCACATTATAGGGGTACTAGAAGGAGAAAAGAGAGAGCAAGATATCAAAAACTTATTTAAAGAAGTAATGACAGAAAACTTCCCCTACCTGCTGAAGAAAATGCTTACAAGTCCACAAAGCACAGAAAATCCCAAACAAGAGGAACCCAAAGAAGACCACACGAAGACACATCATAATTAAAATGCCAAGGGCTGCGGAAACCGGTTTGGCTCAGTGGATAGAGCGTCGGTCTGCAGACTGAAAGGTCTGAAGTTTGATTCCAGTTAAGGGCACGTACCTTGGTTGCAGGCACATCCCCAGTGGGGGGTATGCAAGAGGCAGCTGATCGATGATTCTCTCTCATCGATGTTTCTAACTCTCTATCCCTCTCTCTTCCCCTCTGTGAAAAATCAATAAAATATATATTAAAAAATAAATAAATAAATAAATAAATAAATAAATAAATAAAATAAAATAAAATGCCAAGGGCTAAAGACAGAAAGACTCTTAAAAGCAGCAAGAGAAAAGCTGTTAGTTACCTCCAAGCGACACCTATACATCTGTCAGCTGATTTCTCAACAGAAATGTTGCAGGCCAGAAGGGAGTGGCAAGAAATATACAAAGTCATGAATAGCAAGGGCCTATTACAACCAACATTACTCTACCCAGCAAAGCTATCATTTAGAATTAAAGGTCAGTTAAAGAGCTTCACAGATAAGAAAAAGCTAAAGAAGTTCGTTACCACTAACCCAAGTATTACATGAAATGTTGAAGGGTATTCTTTAAGAAGAGAAAGAAGAAGAAACAAAGATTTAAAAAATGAACACTTTTTATAAGAACAATAAATACATATCTATCAACAATTGAATCTATAAATCAAAATAAACAAAAAATAAATAAATTTCAAAAATAAAATAAACGACTAAGAAATCTAATGACCAAAATAGAATCAGAGGCATGGAAATATGGAACAGACTGACAAATCTCAGAAGCAAGGGAAGAGTGGGGCAGAAAAAGATTAGCCAAAGATCTTACATGCATATATGCATTATCTATGGACACAAACAAGAGGGTAGTGAAGTCCTGGGGCTGGGTGGGAACTGGGTGGAGAGGAGCAAGGAGGGGTGGGGGGGAATGTGGGATATCTACAACACCCTCAATAATAAAGATTTCTTAAAAATAAAGAAAATAAATAAATTATCAATTACCAGCGTAAGGGATTGGTGTCCTAGCTACCATCAAGGGTGATCAATTTGTTTTGTTTTAAAATTATCTAGCTTTTAAAAGATGTTATCACAATTAGGGTACACTCTTTAATTTTTCTAAGTTCCCAAAGATTGATTTAACATAAAATCAATCACCTTAAAGGGAAAAATTCCTATCCCTTTATTACTGATTAATATTCCAATTTGTGACTATGCCATGATTGTTTTTATCCATTCAACTGTAGACAGACCAAAAGGGTCATCATAAACACTGTCAATATAAATATATTTTTGTATATGATCCTAGTGTGCATGAGCCTCTCTAGGGAACATATCTGAGAGTAGAATTTCCTATCTTTCTCAAAGTGTCTGTACCAATTTACATCAACAACTGATATTATCTGACTTCCTTTTTTGTAACTGAATACTTATCTCATTCTTGTTGACTCTACTTTTTTAAAAAATTGTTATGGAACCTGGCCAGTGTAGCTCAGTTGGTTGGGAGTTGTCCTGTACATCAAAAGGTTGCCGGTTCAATTCCCAGTCAGAGTACATGCCTAGGTTGTGGGGCTCGACCCCCAATCAATCTCTCATATCAATGTTTCTCTCTCTCCTTCTCTAAAAATCAATTTTAAATCTTTTGAAAAAGAAATAAAATAATAAAAAACTGTTATGCATCAACCTTTACTTTTACTTAGGACTTAACTGCCATTTAGAACAAAGCCATTAATCAAACTCAATATACCATAAGGAAGAACCTGGGAAGTTTTAACTAAGCAAAAGTTAGTATCTCTGCTTTTATGCAGAATAGGCCAAAATGTCTGAAAATTATTTGTACGAGAATTAGGTGATATGTAAATATAACAAATTTAAAATGCAAAAGTGTTCAGTATATAATTCAGGCTTATTATGCATGCTAAGATTAGAATATTTCTGAATCCTTTTTGTTCTAGAAAACAATACTCAGAAGCCATGATTTTATTAAAAATAATTATGTTGCCCTAGCCAGGTAGCTCAGTTGGTTAGAGCATTGTCCTGATATGCCAAGGTTGTGGTTCAATCTCCAATCAGGGCACATATAACAATCAAGCAATGAAGACATAAATGAGCAAAAATGAGTGGAACAACAAATATCTATCTATCTATCTATTTATCTCTCAAATAAAAATTATTAAAAATAAACCTTAAATACAGTGGTCTTGAAAAATAATAATAATGTTTAAAATGTCTAACACAAATAAATAAAATCAGCAGTAGAAAACCTAAATGTTAAAAGATGAAAAATTGAAATTTCAATTTTAAACACAGTTTATATTATTTTTTTTTATTTTTTTTTCAGTTTATATTATTTTAAAAGTTGCTCCTCAAACAGTTACTTTTCTTTCCTAAGAAGAGGATTATTATTCTTATCAACAAAAAAAATATTTTACTCACTTAATAAATGCTGGTGGCATATCTCTCTTCAAAATCTGATCCTCCGTGGTTTGAACAGTCTCTTTCCCAACCTAAAGAGGAAAAAGAGTCACAATATAAATATAAATTCTTAGACTTTAAAAACTTTTAGTAAACCATATTTAAAACATATACTTTATAGTAATTAAATTCAAAGAAAATTTCAGAATATTTTACAATTATCAAGATTTCTCCCATCTATGCTTCCACAACACAGTTGGATAACAATCTGAAGTACAAACATAATGCATTAACCCTTCTCTAGATTAATTACTTAGAAGGCATCATCGACCACAGAGGAAAAAAATTAATTGAAATATATATGTGTGATGTGTACATGTTTAACTGACAAACTGCTTTGTTTCTAAAAAAGCACACGAAGTACCTGAATCAAGGTGGTTATGCTAATGTGTTTATAGAGAAGAAAAATTATTGAATTGGGAAAAATAAGTGATGGAATTATGACTCTGAAATTAAAAACCAAACATATGAAAATACACTACTTAACTAGTAATCTGCACATTTTTCCCCCTAATTCTTTTTAAGGTCAACTTAAAAAGAAAAAAATATATAATGCTAAATGCTGCAATGGAATAGTTTTACATCCTACTGGTGGAAAAATAAAATGGTATATTCTCTTTAACAATCATTTGTTAGTGTGTGTTAAGAAATATAAAAAATGTCATATCTGGGAGTTCCACTATGAGAATATACCCTCTATAAGCAATAATATCAAATATGGTAATAACAATATTCACAAAAGTATTCATTATCATGTTAGTTATGAAAGCCAAAATGTTTTTAAAATAACTTATCCAACAACAAGGAATACTTAAGTAAGTTAAGATATATCTTTAGATTGAGTACTATGGGATTATTATTATTAAAACAATGGTTATAAAGACTAAGCACTATGAGAAAATTTTTGTCATTATATTTCATTTAAAAAGAAGAATAAAAAATAATACACTGTGAACAAAACAAACCAAAAATGCCATATGTATAAAGCAAAACAGTGAAAGAGTATAAAATATGTTACCAGTGTTTTTATTAATTCTTGTGAAATTTTTGAGTGAATTTGTATCTATATTTCCTGTTTTCTAATTTTCTGGAATGTGAATGTAGACTTTTTTTAGTTTAAAAACTAATACCCATCATTGGTATGGCTCAGTTGGATGAGTGTTGTTCTATGCACGGAGATGTTGACAGTTCAATTCCCAGGTCACATGCCTGGGGTTGGGCTAAGTCCCCAGTGGGGGGGGGGGGGGGGGTGTTGAGGGGGGGGGGGCTGCTAGAGGCAGCTGATCAATGTTTCTTTCTCATTGGTGTTTCTCTCCCTCTCCCTTCCTCTCTCTTTCAAATCAATTTTTTTAAAACCGTAAAAATTTAAACTAATATTAAAATGTTATTCAGGGTTTCTTAGATACAAATATTTTCTACCTAATAATTTTAGAATTTATCTGTCATTTTATTTAAATCATCTAAATGATAAAGGCCAAAAATTTAAAAATATTGAAATATTAAAATATTAAAAGTCGCACTAACCAGATTGTGTGTCTGTGCATATGTATTTATTATACCACAAATGATAGACATACTTACCTTCTTCAAAACTATTCCTATGTATGGCTTAGATGTAAATTTTCCTTTCACTATATCACATATACTTTACAGTTTAATATAGTGAATGGTGAAATTCACCAATTCTATTAATATAAAGCTACCTAAGAATGTTAAATCATAAATTTATATAAACCCCACTTTAATGCAGAAATCAGTAAAATTTTATAAACTCAGAATGAAAAGTATCTCAATCCCACTACTTAACTTTTGATTGAATTTAAAGATGAAAATGAATAAGAAAAATCCCTAAGGCACAGTAAAGCAGCTGAAGGCAATAACACAATAAACTATTCTCAGAGAATACAAGTCATGCATAAGTTAATAAATACAAGATTTCTCTCTCAAGTTAATAGCTAAGAAAGAGCAACACACATTACACTGTGTAAGAGCCAGTGCTTTTGTAGACAACAGACTGTCTGTATGCAAATAAAAGCCTTTTACATCAGCAGCTGGTTTGGTAGAGTTTTTCAGATCAAAACATGACAGAATATTTCCAGATGTGTTGTTCACTATATTTCCAGACTAAAATCAACCATTCAAAAAGCTGTGGGCCACTGGCTTCTCTGCTTTTTGGCTAAGGTCAAGTATAGTAAAAAGCTGTGGGCCATGGTATCATGAAGTAAAAGATGATGTTCAGAAACAATCACTGGCTCACACTAAGTTATATATAAAAGGCCTAGAAGGAGATTCACATTTAGATACATGGAGAGTCCTTTTATTTTAGACACACACATACACCGAGAGAGTAGGAGTAGACAGCGTAGATAGCGAGTACAAAGGTAAATAAATAAACAAGATCATTCCAGATAATGATAAGGATGACACGATAGAGTGGAGTAGACAAAGCCTACCTTAGAAAGAATAGACAAAGAAGGCTTCTCTGAAGAAGTAACATTGGAGTTGAGGCTTTGAAGCTGAGAAGGAACCACACATGCAGAACTTAAAAAGAACAATCTAGACGCAAAAAAAAAAAAAAAAAAAAAAAAAAAAGTCCTATGGAAGAAGGGGTGGTGGCGAGGTTGGGCAAGAAGGCAAGGCTAGATAGATCACAAAGAGGCCTTCCGGCCAGGTTCAGGTGTTTGGAATATTTTCTAAGCACAAGAGGAAGCAGCGGTGCTAAAGGAGAGGTTGACATGATCTGATTTTTCTTTCCAAATGGCCATTTTCCTTGTTGCATGGACAAGTGATCTTAGCAGGCACAGAGAAGCAGGGTGACCAGTTAGGAGGCTATTGTAATCATCCAGGAGAGAGACGATAGTGACTTAAAACAAGACTTGAAAGTGAAAATGGAGAATTACTTCTTTGGGAAGCAGACAGAATATTAATACGACTTGTTCTTGGACAGACTGGGGGTAAGGGTTGGGAGCAGACTGAGGGAAAGAAATAAAAAGCTCTTGATAAAACAATCATATACCAAGCAGAACAGTTAAAACAAATATTCTGACCCCAGTAAAGGTAATTACTAAGGAATTAATTTAATTTAATTTAATTACTTTTTTAAAAATTATCCTTATTTTTGAAAGTATTACAAATGTCCCCTTTTCTCCCTCATTGACCCTTCCTCCCCACTCCCCCTTCCCAGGTTTTCCCAGCACTACTGTCTGTGTCCATGGGTTATACATATAAGTTCTTTATGTCTCTCTTATAAGAGTGATGGTAAATGAGAAATAGAAATAGATAATAAAAAGATACTCAAGTGATGGGCTCTAAATCTGATTTACTATTCTAAGCTGCATTCATACTTATAGTGAGAGTATCCACAAACACTCTCATTTCAATATACTCAGCCTAGAATAGGTCAGGTACAATGAATGGGCCAGGTTTCAAGGCACAACACATAAAACATGACTATGTAGAATGACTGCCATTTTCACGTGGGGAGTTAATTTTTGGCAATGCTATCCGACAGAACTTTCTGTTGTGATGGGAATGTTCTACTTAAACTGTGCTGCCCACTACAGTAGCCATTAGCCACCGGTAGCTATTAAACACTGGAAATGTGGCTAGTGCAACTGTGAAACTGAATTATTACTTTTATTTAATTTTAATTTTTTAAAATTAAACTGCATTCTTTTATGCAGTTTTAAGTTCACAGCAAAACTGAATGGAAGATACAGAGATTTCCTTACTTTCTGCCCCCCTACATCAAAAGCCTCCGCATTAACATCCTCCACCAGGGTTGTATTTGTTACAATTGATGAATCTAACAGCGACACAGCATAATCAGCCAAGTTCATAGCTAACATTATGGTTCACTGTTGGTATTGTATATTCTAGTGTTTGACAAATATATAATGACATGTATCCACCGTTATGGTACCATACAGAGAATCGCCCTAAGAATCCTGTGCCCTGCCTATTCACCCCTCCCTGCCCCCAAACTCCTGGCAACCCAAAGATATTTTTACTGTCTCCATAGTTTTGCCTTTTCCAGAATGCCATATAATTGGTCATACAGTATGTAGCTTTTTCAGATTGGCTTCTTTCAATTAGTTTTCATTTAAATTGCTATTTGTGGCTGGAGGCTACCATACTGGACAGCTCAGATCTATGGGACTTTGTCTCCTAAAATTGATCTTCCTGCCTCCAGACCCCTCCCTCCTTCTAATGTACTCCTCACACAGCTGCTAGATTATCCTTCATTTTTGCCTTTGCTATGTAGTATCTTCACACACACACAAAAAAGCGGGGGGGGGGGGGGGGGGGGGAGAGAAGGGTAGAGAGCTGGGCCTGGAAAGGTTAAAGTTGCCAGGCAGAGGAGAGAGACCAGGCAGCCCAGGCAGAAAGAGGAACACAGGCAAAGGCTCTGGTGGTTTAAGTATGTGAATGACTCAACAAGAAAGACAGGCAGGTGAGGCTTCCGCAGAGGACCGGGCTAGAAAGGACACCCTGACTCAGCTGAATGCCAAGTCAAGGCAGAGAGAATTATATAACCTAACCTGCCCATTTACTCAAAAGTTATCATCCTCTGTCCTAGTTCTTTCCAAATCAGTGTTCACTCGCTGAAGTACCGAGTCAAGAACTTCCAAATAAGCCAGATTCTAAAAATATGCAGGACCAGAAAGGTTCTCCTTATTGTGAAGGACGGCAAGCGTGTCTAGGAGAGGCAGAGAGGAAGCTGCACGCTTCTCAGCCATCAGCCAGCTCTCAGGAAACGCACTGTCCTCCGCTCTCCCCACACCGTCAGAAATCAGCACCCGACTCTTCCAAAGAGAAGGAAAAGAACACTTAAAAGAGATTAACTCACAAAATGCTCTTTGTTAGAGAGCGGGACTCTTCATGGCTTGTGGAAGGACACTATTCCTGGAGGTCAGCCTCAGCGTGGGGAAGCATGCGATTCCTAAAATAGGCTACAACTCTGCAAACGAGCAGGTCAGTTATAATCTTCACAAATGATTCTTAACCTGTAGAGCACCAGGTAATTAAAACA